GACCCGGGTTCGATTCCCGACATGGGTACAATGTGTGAAGCCCATTTCTGGTGTCCCCCGCCGTGATATTGCTCGAATATTGCTAAAAGCGGCGTAAAACAATACTCACTCACTCTCCCTTGAAACTACAAGCAACTATACCAAGCCAAAAAAACATGGTAAGAATTTGTTTAAAACATTACAAATAGAATCAAATTCAGGTTCAATTTGATTATAATTTTATTGATTTGTTGTTGATATTGTAATCATAACATTTGGAAGTAGACTATAGAGAAAGTATTGTAAATCAGGGCACCTGTCCTTGTCACGTGTACACGTGCCTGGGGGGATTAACAGTCCTGCTGCCTGGTCATGAAGATAAGCTTTCCTCGGGTTTCACATGTTGTGGCAGAACTATAGCCACTCAGGTGGCATATCACTGATTATTGATCACAACAGTCTAAAGAAGCCAGGCGGTGTGAGCGTTATGCGACGGGGGAATTGGCCTGAATTAAAATGTGGTTTAGCAAGGTAACATTGATCGTTGTCATGGATCAGTCTCAGAATACACGCATCCGTGTATTTATGGTCTTGTTGGTCTGTGATATATAGCTGCATTATTAACGCATCGGGGAAGGCACGTTGCCCTGACAAAACCTTGGGCTCGTGAATTCATGTTGTGGGTGGTTCTAAATCACGCGTACAGGTAGATGTATCGGTCGGTTATATAGGATATATAACAGCCACACCTAGTCACTGTTTAGTCACAAACTGGACGCCTTCACCGATGGCGTGTATCGTACCGCTGGCTCATGGCTTTTGAATAGGTCGAGATTCCGACAGTGTTATATGAGATAGGAATATACGTTCAATACAATAGGCAATAGTGGTAGGGGGTTTATAAAATTAGTGTCGAGTTCAGAGTTTCTTGTGGCCATGTAGTACCTCGGTCATGGGCCATCGGGATGTGACGGTTCGTCCTATCTTACAGTTCATTCAACAAATTACAATATGTTTCTCATGTGTATTATTTTTGGAAAGTCAACACGTTCAGATAACCATGTCGTGAAACGGTTAAATCGTTCACTGAGAAAGTAGTATTTCCATTTGTGTGTTTATCCATTGTTTACATTGGTTGTACTGTACGTGCAGACGCAGTTGTAGTAGCATAACGTTATAAATTATGCAAAACGATATCTAAAGCGCACTGAAGGGCCTCAACTAAGCGGTCTGCTCGGATTTCAGATAAAGGGGTCCTACTCAGGACCCACCCGCCCCGAGTACCCGTTACCCGCCCCAGCTCCACAAAGTGGGGTTAAAAACAACCCACAGAGTCGCCTTTCGCGACGCAGTGGGTTGTGAAGATTTCTGTCCCTTTGCTCATTAAGCCGACATGCCGCGATGCAATTCTTAAACATGTTAACAACGTAGTTAAACCCAACTCACTCATCCAACTGACGCATTTACTCACTCACTCACGTGTCATGTCAGCGTCTTAAGATCATAGATTCGAATCCCAGATTGTCACTGATTATGATATTGATTTGTCAGCATCGCACTCTAAAACCTGCATCATTTGGGGCTTTCATTAATCTGATACGCCGCGATAGAACTGTTAAACATATATCGTCGTTAAACCCAACTCATTCACTCACTGACTCACGCTCACATTCACACTCGCACACTCACATTCACACTCACATACACACACTCACATTTTGCAAATCCTCCCAGTGTTAACAAGAAAAACCAGTTCAAAGTATTCACACAAGCAGAGAAGTCTCTGGGGCAGAAAAATGACAACAATGTTTAACATGTCCGTGTGATAAAGGGGAAGCTCCTACCAGGCTCCGTTTGCCACGCATTGACCTGCCTTACAAAATACGTATACAAAACTGCTCTTCAGGAGCAGTACAGTTTTGGATGTCCGACGTAAATTATTTATACAGACGAAAGCTGAAATTGACAAAGGTTGACATTGGCAAGAAATTGATTTCATCTGTATGTCGATGAGTGCTTGAGATAACGTGGAAGGCCCCGCTGAATACTAGTCGTGTTTAAGAATCCGATTTAAAAGGGACGTAAAACTGTGTATTATGTTTCTATTTGTTATTTCAGTATTCCGGAATAGGGTTAATAGGTGATAAATCAGTTGAATACTCAAGGTTGCATGTCCTACTTGATGCATGTTCTTGGTTGCTTTTAACGTTTGCTGACAAAATGCTTACAGTAAACTACGGTTATAACGAACACGCTTATAACGAACTGACGGATATAACGAACACGCTTATAACGAACTGACGGATATAACGAACTTACTTTTTTGGTCCCGACTATTTGCTGTAGTTATGCTGTATATATGCTTATAACGAACTACGGTTATAACGAACTAAATTTAGTAGTCCCTTTGAGTTCGTTATAACCGTAGTTTACTGTATTTAAGTCCTCCAAACAGCATTTGGCCCAGCAACTTAATACTTTGTATTAGGATTATTCATCTATTCTATACATTAACTCTTGGACGGGACCTTATTAGATTGATTGGATGTCGCCTGTTAAAGGTCAACGTTTATAATTAATACGTTGTTATCGATTAACGCTTCTTAGTGTTTGTAACGGCCTATGTCCTTCCATGTATAGTTTAGATATATGGTGAACGCTGGATGCAAACCCATTCTATGCACATGGTTATCGTGAAATGGAGGTTATGATTTTCATGTTTCGATTAATAAATAACAGTTGTCATTTGATATACAGACATTTTTACAGCTTTATGTGGACTATAGTCACATAGGTTGAAACGGACTGTAGATTTATGTGATATGCCTTCATTGTTTGAGAATGAGATATTGCGCTGAAATGTGATATAACCCCACAGAAGATGAGTATAAGTAAACACACACACATATATTTTACGCAAGCAGGGTCGCGTGTTCCCGGGAATGGGGAATACTTTGCGGACTGGGCGGTGTGCGTGCGTGCGTACGTGCGTGCGTGCGTGCGTGCACCTCACATAATGATTACTTTGTCAAAATTTACTGCGTGAATTGTGTGTATCTTATAGCTCTTAACGTGGATAAGGTTAAACAAACGGTGTTCCTTATCGATATATACAACATTCTGAGATAATTCTGAAATAGGTGGGTTAGCTTTGTGGTTAAATCGTTTGCGCGTCACGCCAAGGTCCGGTTCGATTCTCCTCCTGGGTGAAGCTCATTTCTTGTGTCGTGATGTTTTTGAATATTGCTAAAAGCGGCGTTAAACCATACTCACTCACTCACTCACTGAAATAGGTGGGTTAGCTTTGTGGTTAAATCGTTGGCGCGTCACGCCAAGGTCCGGTTCGATTCTCCTCCTGGGTGAAGCTCATTTCTTGTGTCGTGATATTTTGGAATATTGCTAAAAGCGGCGTTAAACCTTATTCACAGGAAAAAGATGTATTTATAAAGATGTCGTTGGACGTTCATCTATCCAAATATTTCCCACCGTCCTTGCTATTGCATTGTGTTTTGTATTCCTCTAATATATATCAGTTTTAGTACTCAAGTCCAACCTTTCCTTTATCCGTTAAACAGAATCAGCTTCAACATAATTTTGTCTTATTTTGACCTCCTGTTTTGTATCTTCTCTCTTTCTCTTCGTTGTGTAAATGCACACATGTGTAAATGTACAAGGTATAGACAGCCTGCGATTGTTACTAGGACGTTGACAGGTGCGTCCTCAACTCGTGACACGTGACATCTGCCATACAAAGCATAGCCGTGTCACCATCTACACCCTCCCCATGTCCTCGGTGACATGACCACATCATGGCGAGCCTTTGTATGCAGCTCACACGCGTGTTGGTGGTTCCACCAAAGTGCACTAAGGATCCCTCCCCTCCTCTCCTCTCCAGAAGTGAGTGAGTGAGTGAGTGAGTATGGTTTTACGCCGCTTTTTCCTCTCCAGAAGGCCAGTGTGGAGCTCATTTCTGGTGACATTGCTGGAATATTGATTTAAAAGCGGCGTAAAACCATACTCACTCACTCACTCTTTGCATCATATGGATATAGGGGACTCGGGATCTCGCACGGGTATCTTGTTCAAACATTTATCAAGTATCATTGGACCGCCTCCGTGGTCTAATGGTAGAGCGTCCGCCCGGAGAGCGGAAGGTCCGGGGTTCGATCCCCGGCCGCGTCATACCAAAAGACGTTAAAAGATGTTACCCTGTCTGGCGCTCGGCATTAAGGGCTAAAACAAAGGACTGGTCGGCTCGGAGTCAGTATACTGTGTCTGAGTGGGGTACTCATGTTAAACTGCGGCATAGTATCTCAGTGTAATAGCACTATAAATCGGCATCAGTCCGGACTAGTACAAGCAGCCACACAAACACACACATACACGTGCATGCACGTCGCTATATAAGTGCAATAATCGTTAAACCCCATTTCACCTCACCTCAAGTATCATTGGTATCTTATCAAAATGATATCAATGTCACTTGTAAATACCCGATGACCCACATGGATACAGTGTATGGAGTCCATTTTTGGTGTCCCCCGCAGGAATATCGCTGGAATATCGCTTAAAGCGGAGAATAACCATACTTACCCACGCTTGTTGCTACTGGACATTTGCTGCATGGTACATGTAACTATCAGTTGACGTTATTTCACGCACACGAAAACAGACCGCTTACGAAGTACTCTATGTTCGTTCAACGTTTGGGGGGCACGGGTGGCCCACTCGTCTAAGGCGCCGCGATTCGCTGTGCAGAGTTGCGTCCCTTGGGCACGCCAGAAATCTAGGATTGTGGATTCGAATCCCGGTTCGCCACGATTATGTTTCTAGGTTTGACAGCACCATACCCGTGCTCGTGGGTTCCACCGAAGTGGTAAACGTCAGAGACCTGCATCACTTCGGGCTTTCCTCCCACATTAAGCAGACACGCCGTGATATAACTGTAATACTGTTAAAAGCGGCGTTAAACCCAACTCACTCACTCACTCACTTACTCACGTTTGTGTCTTTGTTTTCAGGGCATGCTCGTTTCCGGCTTTGTCAACGTCATCATCACAACCATCGAGCGTCGCTTTGAAATCAGCAGCACGGAGACGGGGACCATCGTCAGCAGCTACGACATAGCGTCAGCGATCTGCCTCATTCCCGTCAGCTACTTCGGTGGCCTTGGCGTAAAGCCTCGTTACATCGGCATCGGAGTTTTCGCACTTGGAGTCGGGTCGTTCCTGTTCGCATTGCCGCATTTCACAACGGGGCTATACACAGTGGAGAACACCCAGGACACTGTGTGTATCCAAGGAGGGAACGCTACTACTACCTGTGACACCACGACTAACTACGGCAGCATCTCAAACTACATGTATGTATTCGTGCTCGCCCAACTGCTACATGGGGCCGGATCATCACCGTTTTACACTCTGGGGGTGACGTACTTGGACGAAAACCTTCCCTTGAGGTCGTCAGCGTTGTATATTGGTGAGTTACGGGTGCCACCGGTGGGGCAGGATAGGCTCGCCTTTTCGTGGGCACCTGGGGTATCATCTCTGTTTGAAAGTGATTCATAGACATAGTTTATGATATAGTCTGAATCGCATAATGGACACAATTGCTCATGATTATGGAAATGGATTGACGCTTTTATAGACCTACGAATGAAAGCACACGGGGTTATTTGCGTATAAACGTAAATAGTAATATATTGGATTGTAGGACAAAAAGCATATTTGTCTTTTTTATAATTTCGGAATCTTACATAATTTAAACCTGCAGACACCTTTATGTAGCTATTATTCGTTCGTCAGACGCAAAACGCAAAATTAAGTTCCATGATTAAGGAATCATGGAAAGGAGCCCCTCAAATAGCCCCAACGTCGAGTGCCAGTTACGTTATTTAGGGACGCTTAAAGAACGCGCGTGGTCATTCCCACTTTACATATTTACCGACGAATAAATCACAAGTGCTAGGAAAGTGCCAACTTAACCACGTGTTTGATGTGAAGTGCTTGTTTCAACCAGGTATCTACTACTCCTGCGTGATCTTAGGTACGGCTCTAGGGTACCTGGCTGGGGGAGAGCTCCTCAACATCTGGACCGACGTCGACGTCGTCGACACATCAAGGTAATGACGTGTTGACGAGACGTGCATGTAGAGGCGTACGGCAGTGTGTGGAGGAGTGAATCAGTTCATGGATGGACTGTGGGATGCTATGTCGGGGTGGTAGGGTGTGGTGCATGTGTGTGGACGTAATACACGTACGTCATGGTAACCAGTCCTGATGTATTAACACAGACATTTTGGAAGTACCACATGATACGGCGACTACGCTTGTGAGAGGCGACTATGCTTGTCGCAAGAGGCGACTAACGGGATCGGGTGGTCAGGCTCGCTGACTTGGTTGATGCGTCGTGACCCTATCGCGTGGATCGGTGCTCATGATGTCAATCACTGGATTGTCTGGTCCAGACGCGGTTATTTACAGACCGACGTCATGTAGCTGGACTATTGCTGAGTGCGGCGTTACACAACAAACAAACAAACCAAATGATACGATGCTGATAATAGATAGCCACAGTTTCTTATGTTTAAATCTTTGCAGAATTTCTGACAAATATAAAGATGTTTCACTTGGCTTTCTACGAATGAAACTATTTTGATGCAATATTTCTCTCCAAAGCCTCTCTATCACCCCCGACAACCGGAAATGGGTGGGCGCATGGTGGCTGGGATTTGTCATCAGCGGAGTAATAGCGTTGGTGATCAGCGTCCCTCTGGCTGGCTTCCCCCGGGCCCTCCCAGGTACGTCGTGCTCAGTCACAACACAACTAGCTGTTACCATCAAGGTTAGTGGCGGGTCAGGGAAGTAAGGGGAGCGCGGGGTGGTAGCGTTGTTTCAGGGGGTTCAGACACGTCTCTATTAAAATGGGAATAAGGATGTCAATGACATGAACTGAAACAAATTCCTTGCATTAATACTTTTCATCAAGATTCTCATCCGTCCATGTGTGATTGTCTAATCCCAATATCACATCTGATATCAAGAATTCAAAATTTTCACTCACATTCGGTACAAAGGAAAAATGGGTTATAGTATAGTATAGTATAGTATAGTATAGTATAGTATAGTATAGTATAGTATAGTATAGTATAGTATAGTATAGTATAGTATAGTATAGTATAGTATAGTATAGTATACCTTCGGCTTGAGTTGAGTTTATCCCATGCAGAACAGTGACGGAGAGCCCCATATACAGGTATGAGGCTAAAGTGGATCTGGGGTAGTCACGTTGTGGGATGGGCGTCGGGGTAGCCTAGTGCTTAAAGCGTTCGCTCGTCACGCTGAAGACAAGGGTTCGATTCCCCACATGGGCATAATGTGTGAGGCCCATTTCTGATGTCCCCCGCCGTGATGTTGCTTCAATATTGCTAAAAGCGGAGTAAAACCATGATGTATGACGTGGCTGATAGTGTGTTAATATTTCCATTGGCGTGATTCGCGAATCATATACCTTGTACAGGCAGACTTCAGTCCCCACGTTGTGTTCACCAGGTTCAAGCAAGTACCGCCAGGAGAAGGAGGCCGAGGTGTACGGCGGGCGGGAGAAGGAGGAACCGGAGGCCGATGATGCTACTCAGAAACACGCTGAAGCACAGTCTGAAAAGCGCCTTGTTAAAGATATACTCCACTCAACAAAACTGCTGCTTACAAATCCAACTTTCATGTTTCTCAATCTGGCAGGAGCTTCCGAAGGTTGGTTCCTTAGGTTGATATTGAAAATATATACCCTTTAGTTAAGTGACGACCCGTGAAGATCCGGGATAGAATAGGTCTTCAGCAACCCATGGTTGCTGTAAAAGGCGACTTTGCTTGTTGTAAGAGGCGATTAACGAGGTCGGGAGGTCAGGCTCGCTGACTTGGTTGATGCATGTCATCGTATGTAAATGTAGATCGATGCTCATGATGTCAATCACTGGATTGTCAGACTCGATTATTTACAGACCGCAGTTGTAAAGCTGAACTATTGCTGAGTGCGGCGTTAAACAACAATTATCTCCGCCGTGGTCTACTGGTCATGTGACTTGGTTGATAACGTACCGACAGTGTGGATCCTTTCAATCACTGGATTATCTGGTCCAGATTATTTACAGCTGGATTCATATGGCTGAAATATTGCAGAGGGCAACAATTCCAAACAACAAATAAACCAGCCATTGGTGCAAACCATAACGGCGAAGCATTGAGCACTTATAGTTTACCAGTCTATCATATGCGTGAAAGACATTGCACTTTCCTGCAGCTATCATCGTGGGAGGATTCTCGACCTTCGCACCCAAGTTCCTGGAGTCAGAGTTTAGTCTGCCTGCAGCCAGAGCTGCTCAGTATGTAGGTGAGTAGCCCAAGAATTACACTGTTCCCCACTCTCAGTGTGTCGGTAAGACTAGGCCCCACGATTGCCCTAATCATGTACATTTGTATAAGATACGCAATTCTCAGTGCAGAGTTGCGTCCCTTGGATGTGCTAGAAACATATGGTCTTGGTTTCAAATCCAAGTTTCGTCCTGCTTAGATTTCTAGGTTTGTCAGCACCACCACCCTGATCGTGGGGCTCAGTAAAGAGGTAAACCTGAACGAACTGCATGCCTTGGGGCGTTCCCCCTAAAAGTTGACACACCCTGACGTAAGTGAAATACCTTTCAAAGCAGCCTTACACCCAACGGGGGCACGGGTGGCCCAGTTGTCTAAGGCGCCGCGATTCGCTGTGCAGAGTTGCGTCCCTTGGGCACGCCAGAAACCTATGATTGTGGGTTCGAATCCTGGTTCGCCCCAATTATGTTTCTAGGTTTGTCAGCACCATGCCCGTGCTCGTGGGTTTCACCGAAGTGGTAAACGTCTGAGACCTGCATCACTTCGGGCTTTCCTCCCACATTAAGCTGACACGCCGTGATATAACTGGAATACTGTTAAAAGCGGCGTTAAACCCAACTTACTCGCTCACTCACGTCCACCCAACTCACTTACTCACCCTTACCCCCATGAGTAGTCATGGGCAGGACATGACCCATGCATGTCGTAAGAGTCAACGTGTGTGTGTGTGTGTGTGTGTGTGGCTGTGTGGCTGTGTGTGTGTGTGTGGCTGTGTGAGTGGATGGTGGTGTGTGTGTGTGTGTGTGTGTGTGTGTGTGTGTGTGTGTGTGTGTGTGTGTGTGTGTGTGTGTGTGTGTGTGTGTGTGTGTGTGTGTGTGTGTGTGTGTGTGTGTGTGTGTGTGTGTGTGTGTGTGTGTGTGTGTGTGTGTGTGTGTGTGTGTGTGTGTGTGTGTGTGTTTTTTTTCCAACTACTGCCTTGGACCATACCAGAAAGGTTGGAATATTGCTGAATGCGACCAACACCAAACCTCACTCACTCACCTTACTAATCAGAAAGGGAAAGTGATATATCAATAGTCTTAAAACGCCGCATATATTTACTACTAAAAAGAACATCCGATTTTTCTTATGACTTTAGTCAATCGGTGATGAAAATGATGCTTGATAACGGCGTTAGAACCTACACCGAAACGTTGCTCCTAATTGTAATATAGAAGTTGTTCATCCGTAAATCTTATCCTTACTTATTGAGTAAGCAGTATACCAGACTACGGAAGTCCTCAGATAAGAGCATCTGCGCATGTGCCATGCGTCTTGACCGCTGCAAGGAGAAAAGCAGCAGGGCTTCACAATGTATCAATTCCACTCATGGTCGCGGCAGTGATGGTTAATGATAATCTACTGCCGGGGCCTGTCCCTCGGTATATGGTCTCTGGTGATATCATGCATTGTCCTGAAGCAACTGTTCTCAGAATATGTGCCCGTATATATGAACTGATTTTGCAGGTTTGGTTGTTATTCCCGCTGGAGGCGGTGGAACACTCCTCGGGGGTTACCTTGTGAAGCGTTTCAACCTGAAGGTTCGTGGCATCCTCAGGATGTGTCTTGCTTCCACGCTGACCGTCTGTGTCCTTGGACTTGGCTTCCTCATTCACTGTGACAACGTACCCTTCGCCGGTGTCAACGTGCGCTACCAGAACAGCTCCACTAGCCTGTAAGTAATGTCGACGCTGCCTGAACCGTGAAATTTGACCCGGTCCATCACTCACTCACTCACTTCATTAGACCGGATCTGTGGTCTAGTGGATAGAGCGTCTGCCTGGAGAGCAGAAAGTCAGTGATTCGAGCTGCTAGATTATACCAAAAGACGTTAATAGATGGTACTTGTTGTCACCTCATTCAGACTGTGTTGTTTGATGAAAAAGACCTGTTCACTCACCTACAAATAAAATCTCACTCCTGACCTAGGAACAATCTGAAAACAGGGACAGATTATTTGGTTGTGTCATCAGAAAGCTGTTACTCGGGGTCGTCACTTCAACAGTGTTGTGTTAACTCTGTGTCTGTGATTCAGTCGGCACAGTGGCCCAATCACCAGTGAATTCACTATGCAGAGTTGCATCCCTTATTCGCACCAGGATCTTTGGTTTGTCAGCATCATATTCGTGCTCTTGAGTTTCACCGAAAATATTAAACCTCTTAGACTCGTGGCAATTTGCGAGTTAAAATATAGGCCCCAAGTTACCTTTGCTGGTCGTATATATAAGTGGCGACTAAATGGATCAGGTGGTCACGCTCTGGTTGATTGGCATGGATCGTTGCTCACATTATCAATCACTGGATTATCTCGTCCAGGCTCGATTATTTACGGGCCGCTGTTAATATAGGTAGAATATTACTGAGCAAGGTGTTCAACAACAGCACACCAACATCCACACACAGAAAGACTTGCTTTCATTTGTGCTTCGTCCCACATCAAGGGTGCACGGGTGGCCCAGTCGTCTAAGGCGTCTAAGGCGCCGCGATTCGCTGTGCAGAGTTGTGTCACTTGGGCACGCTAGAAACCTAGGATTGTGGGTTCGAATCCCGGTTCGCCCCAATTATGTTTCTAGCTTTGTCGGCACCATACCGTGCTCGTGGGTTTCACCGAAGTGGTAAACGTCTAAGACCTGCATCATTTCGGGCTTTCCTCCCACATTAAGCTGACACGCCTGATATAACTGGAATACATACTGATAAAAACGGCGTTAAACACAACTCACTCACTCACTCTTCCCACATAAAGCTGGTGCGCTGTAATGTAACCAAAACAATGTTCAAAGCAGCATAGAGCCAATATCAACTGTATATGTTGCAACATACAAAAGAATACCTGGGCCCCGTTCCACAAAGTGATCGTAGAGCTAAGGTAATCGTAACTCCCATACAGGCGGTACAATCAGTGTTTTACTTCATGTTACAGAATAGAAAAAGGCGGTTGGACAACCAGTATGATATATGCAAAAGGGACTGTGTCTGTGTTTCAGGAATATAGAGTACTTGGGCAAGAGGCTGGACAACACGTGCAACAGCAACTGTGCGTGTACAGAAGATGACTATCACCCGGTGTGTGGGCGGGACGGCCTCACGTACTTCTCCCCCTGCTATGCTGGATGCACGGTGATTCAGTATGGAGAGGTCACGGTGAGTCATCAACCAAACAATATCATGTTTCAATTAATCAATCTTCATTCGGTACTGAAAAGCCCATACCAAAAGACGTTAAAAGATGGTACTTGTTGTTACCCTTTCTGGTTCTCGGCATTAAGGGGCAGTAATACTGGTCGACTCGGAGTCAGTATACTGTGTCTGAGTGGGGTATTCATGTCAAAACTGCGGCATGGTATCTCAGTGTACTAGCACTATAAATCGGCATCGGTCCGGAATAGTACAAGCGCGCGCACGCAGACACGCACGCACACACGCACGCACGCACACGCACGCACACACACGCACGCACACACACGATGCTATGTAAGTGCAATAATCTTGGATGTGACGTTAAACCCCATTTCACCTCACCTCACTGAAGAGGACACAGGCTTAACGTACATACGATATATACACTTGAGCGTTAATTAAGCGCCACCCACTTGTACGGATATGTGGTACGTTACTAAAAGACTGATGCCAGTAGAAGAGTGGCAAACAACGCCTGACACTACCATCACGCAAATAATGAAGCTGACACTAGCAATAGGAATACCGATTTATTGGCTTTATGGAACAAGACTAAAATGTTCATTTCAATGCGGAAAATATCAGCACCCACCCAACGCAATGAATCGGACTGTCACATCAGTCGGGTAAACTAGTGGTTAAAACGTTTGCTCGTAACGCCGAATACCCGGGTTCGATTCCCGACATGGGTACAATGACAATGTGTGAAGCCCATTCCTGGTGTCCCCCGCCGTGATATTGCTGGAATATTGCTAAAAGCGCCGTAAAACCTTACTCACTCACTTATTTAGAATAAGCTATTACTATTACATGGCCGTTGCTATGTGACTGAGCGATCACCTACCCTTGATATTTTACCATATTTCAAAATGCAGGTCTGTATGTTCAGCACGTTGGTTAATAACAACGGTATGATGTTTGTATATTTGGATTTTCTTTAGTCAAACGCTTCATTCGGCGATCTGAAAGTAATCAATCATGGACCAGAAAATACACTGTTTAACACCATGAACATCGATCTACGTATTTCTCGCTTGCTAATTGGTATCGTATACATGAGTGAATGAGTGAGCTGTGGTGTACTCCGCTTTTAACATTATTACGATTCAGTGTTTAAACGTAAAGTGGGCGGAAATCCGGAATCCATGTCAAGGGCATAAACCATTTTGATGAACCTCAAGAGCGTGTTGCTCGTCAGGGTGAAAGTGGCCATTATGTGATGTACAACTGTTTCAGCGCTACAACAACTGCTCCTGCATCAGCAGCAACGCTACAGACTACATGGCGGAGTTCACCAGATGCGAAACCTCCTGCATGTGGTTGCCCCTCTTCCTCCCTATATTTGCCCTCATGATGTTCTTTACGTTCGTCATCAGCATGCCGTCCCTGACTGCCACGCTCAGGTAACCCAGGTGTTCTCAGCATTATTACATTCCAACCAACACTGAAACAAGTAAATATATCATAAACAATTTAAACAAGATGCACATTGCTATGATACCGGAGGTGTGTTAAGCAGACTCGCCAAAACGCTGGTTCAGGGGTGCTATATGTTAAGCCCATTGTTAGTGTCCACCGCCATGATGTTGCTGGAATATTGCTAAAGGCGGTGTAATATCATACTCAAAACGATGATAAGTGATTAATCAGTGTTAAAGTGTTCCATGTGAATCCCCCATTCTCTCTCTGAGTTGCGTCTCCTGGACACGGCAGAAACCTATGATTGTGGGTTCGAATCCCGGTTCACCCCGATTATGTTTCTAGGTTTGTCAGCACCATACCCGTGCTCGTGGGTTTCACCGAAGTGGTAAACGTCAGAGACCTGCATCACATCGGGCTTTCCTCCCACATTAAGCTGACACGCCGCGATATTACTGGAATTATGTTAAAAGCGGCGTTAAACCCAACTCACTCACTCACTCACTCTCTCTCTCGAAGAATTACCTTGAGGATTTGTGTGGCCATGGGTTTCAGTAGGATAAGTTGTTATTTGGAGGTATTAGTGTGATGCGATGACCAGGTCCGTTCCTTGATTACAGGGTGGTATCACAGAAACATCGATCCTTCGGACTGGGCATCCAGTGGCTGGTCGTCAGATGTTTGGGTAAGAAAAGGGATTCATGCCATATATACTAACAGACAACTGTAGCTATTTTATTTATTTATCAGACTTGGTGTTTGTAGAAGCACAATACTCCAACTACTTCTCATTTCGTTTGGATATTTAAAGTCTGATGCTGTTAATAAGGTCGAAGATGCTCCCCCAAAGGTCTTCCAAAAAAATAATATTTTAATATAAAGCAATGTTTGTGTTCTTTACACAAGTCATAGTGAAATGTTTGGAATGTTTATCTCATGAGAGATGAACATCGGCTTGAAAGGAAAGAACAATAAGGTGCGAGCTTAATTTTGAACCCTGAGTGCATTGGTTGGTTGGTTGGTTGGTTGGTTGTTTAACGCCGCACTCAGCAATATTCCATCGACATGACGGCGGTCTGTAAATAATCGAGTCGGACCAGACAATCCAGTGATTAATATCATGAGCATCAATCCACGCATTTGGGATCGATGACATGCATCAACCAAGTCAGCGAGCCTGACCACCCGATCCCGTTTGTCGCCTTTTACGACAAGCATTGTCACCTTTTACGGCAAGCATGGGTTGCTGAAGACCTATTCTACCCCAGAATCTTCATGGGTCCTGAGTGCATTAGAATTATACAAGTAGTCCATACGATCATTATGATATTATCAGTTGTCTCAGGGATTGCAAATTCTATTTAAGCTATAGTCATCAAATCGTCTAGTTATACCTGTTCCTCGCTGTAGGTGCCATCCCTGGTCCGATCCTGTTTGGCAAGATGATTGACCTGTCCTGCCTGCTGTGGCAGAAGCGCTGCGACGGGAACGGCTCTTGCTTCTTCTACGACAACAAGCTGATGAGCTACTACCTCATGGCGTTAGGCATCAGCCTCAAGGCCCTGTCCTCAGTCTTCTTTTTCTTGGCACTAGTCCTGTACAAGAAATCCCCACACAGGAAGATAGTTGAAGTGGATTCGAAACTTGAGATCACAGCAACCGACGCCAGTGCCAATGGAATAGACAATCCAGTGTTTTATAATAGTACTGAAAAAATCTCAATTGGTAGAGAGGATCCAATTATTATAAGTGGTACTACACTGAAAACAAAGTTATAGCCATATCTTAAGTTGTTCCGGGAAACATACTGCTGATTAAGTATACATCTATCTCAGGTTTGTTCTGGAAACCAGGGAGTCTATACAAGTTTCGACTCCCTCAAGAAAGAGACTGCATATTAAGTTATGGAACTATCTTTGGTTATGCCTGGAAACAGACTGCTTACTAAGCTGTTCATCTGTCTCAGGTTAGTCCGGGAAACTGCTGGTTAACATATCAAAAAAGACAGGAGATGGTGGTTTGATCGTTGGCCAGGAATTCGGGAATGGCACGGGAACATTGCATTAGGCTTTACTCTGGTCACCCAGATATTCAGTGAAGTCTTGCTACCAGACCTGCTCCCTCATTTCAACAACACAAGGAGGATTGCTTTGACCAACCAGATGGTGAAAGTGTTGAACTGACTGACAGGAAGCGTCACCAAGAACTACTATGATCAATATATCTGCAATTTGCAGAGATCTGAGAGTGCCCCGATCGACGGCTATGATCATATGCAGATACGTTTATCCGAATAACCACAACGCTAGTGTTCTCATGTGGTCGATGGGGAAAAACTGCTTTGAAACTTGAAAAACATCGGTCTCGGTTTCGGCGTTTGCTAATTTAGACCAACATAGCTATGATGCCATCACTTTAACAGGATGTTTTGAAGTGCATGGTGCCATCACTTTAACTTGATGCCTTCAACGGCATGGTGCAATCACTTTAACATGATGCCTTCAACAGCATGGTGCCATCACTTTAACATGATGCCTTCAACGGCATGGTGCCATAATGGTTATCTGTTATCTGTTTATTAATATGTATGTTTTGTACACGTGTGTTTACGATAGGTTGTATTTTGATGAATGGACATAACAAATACTATTACTCTACTGAACACTCCATATGGACATCAGGAGGCCAACTGTCCTTGCTCGCCCAGTACATGTTTACTCCTTCACTCATTGTTCGCAGTTACTTCCCTTAACTGTAGGGAGACGCTGGTCGCGGGTACGGCGTTCCCAACCTCTTCGATTATGTCACTTGGTGTTTTATCCCCCGTCCCGGGCTCTTTGTTTCGCCAGAGTGGTAAAAATACACGATCAACGGCGCTGTGTAACCTGCTTGCGGCACGCCGTCATTTACCGCCTCACTCTTCACGTCCTGAATGAAGTGTGCGACGATATATAACCTGTATAAGCATAGGACAAGAACTTTATGTGAATTGGATATCATGTTCATTACCTAATGTTATGTTACACATGGAATGTGCCTGCAATATATACATGGAATGTGCCTGCAATATACTGAGTTTTCAACCCTGCTGAGATTATAAGACTGCCAGTGCGCTGTGCTGTGACGGTCCGGTTGTGCATAATAGAATGAGGGGCAAAGACTCGGTGGAACCTCCAATACTCACTAAGGCTGAATGTGCATGGGTGGCCCGGTAGTATATTTCAACTCTCAATTCACTGATCACGGTTCGAATCCCAGATTTGCATTAATTATGAACCCTGATCTGTGAAAGCCATACCCTGCTCGTGGGTGTCACCAAAGCGATAAACATCTACGACCTGCGTCACTGTTGATGATCCTCTCATAACAAGCTCTTAAATATTTGAAATCCAATGAAAAAGCGACATTGAAAGCAAAAACTACTCAACGCTGAATGATATCATTCTGTTGGGGATGAAGAAATCAATGATGAGATATCCCCATGTTAACACTCCATGTTTTGCTCATAGTTTCTAACATACTGGAGGTTTTTTAACCCTAAAAAGCATAAAGGCATATTGTTAGGGCTAGTGAAATTTATTTATGAACATCTTGTTAACCATGCGGTGTGTTAACGCAAGTAGTGTACAATTACAGATTCAACAGCTGAAATATAAGTTAAGTTTATTTTCCTGACAGTGTTAACGTTTGGCGTTTGGATCATTAAATGGTACGAGTGGTTCTGACACAAGAAATATGTAGACACCTCACAGTCCGTCCGACCATCCACGTGTAATTAATATAATAATATCGTTAACACTCGAGGAAGCCCTGATATAGACCATTTAGTCCAGCGTTGGTGGGTCAAATAGCGAGGACTGAAATATGTATAAAGTACTATTTGTATAATTATTTATTGAGCTCACTAAACAAAACTTCCACTCTGTAATAAAAAGTAAGAAAATAAACGACCCAATTAACACATCAGATTTGTGTCCAACGCAATTTATTTTCAAATTTTCACACTCACTCATGTTTAATGAAATGTAGAAGGGGACCTTCTTCGTAAAAAAGCTACACAGAAAGAGTGTTTTACCTCCCGTGTGGAAAATATTGTTCATCCGTTCCATAAGGAAACAAAATATAATTAATCACTGAGACTGGTTTCTTCGTCATTATCGACTAATATCCGATATTCATTTCCCCAGCTTCCAAGTAATAAAACAAAAACTGTGTCGCTAGTTGCTCCAGGCTGAACTTGCCCCCGTGACAACTGTACATTTGTTTTATTGTTAACGCTGACGATGTCCTTTGTGTTTTACATGAGTCTATAAGTCATAACTTCAGCTCATGTTGTTTTCTTATAAATATTTTATGTTTACAGAGTTATATTCATGTACATATATATATATACATTTTCTTTGAATTAAAACGTTTTGAATGAAATGTTTCATGATCTGGGCGAGTCATGCAGGAACACCGTAACGGATTCTGGGTTGAGAACAGGTCCCCAGCAACCCACGCTGGTAGTAAGAGTGAGTGAGTGAGTTGGATTTAACGCCGCTTTTAACAGTATTCCAGTTATATCACGGCGTGTCAGCTTAATGTGGGAGGAAAGCCCGATGTGATGCAGGTCTCAGACGTTTACCACTTCGGTGAAACCCACGAGCACGGGTATGATGCTGACAAACCTAGAAACATAATTGGGGAAAACCGGGATTCGAACCCACAATCCTAGGTTTGTGGCGTGCCCAAGGGACGCAACTCTGCACAGCGAATCGCGGCACCTTAGACGACTGGGCCACCCGTACCCCCCGTAGGGGTCGGATGCGAGGGTGCTTATTTTTCGCATATTTATCTCGTCAAAAGTAATCATTCGTTTTGTTTTACCGAAATTCACTTTAAAGTTCATGGGGTCTCTCAGCCGAGCTGTTTCGTTGAAGTAACTTAGCTGCGAATCGTAAAATGTTCTTACAAGACGCCATGTTGTTTTTTAGCAGGGAGTCAAATGAAATATTCATCACGTGACAGGTCAATACTGACGAAACAATATTCGAGGTCACTCACATGATTTCGGGGTCTCCATTGAAATGTTTTGTTTCGTCACGTGGTGCGGATTAAGCAATCGAATTGTAAGATTCTTAATAATGGTATTGCAATACTAAGATGAGGACCTGGTGATTACGATGTATGACTAAGATGAGGATCCGGTCATTATGATGTATGATCACTAAAATGTATGTTTGTTGTTTAAGGCCGCACTTAGCAATAGTCCAGATAAATGACTGCGGTCTAGACCAGTGAGTGAGTTGGGTTTTTAACGCCGCTTTTAACAGTATTCCAGTTATATCGCGGCGTGTCAGTTTAAGCTTAATGTGGGAGGGAAGCTCAAAGTAATGGAGGTCTCAGACGTTTACCACTTCGGTGAAACCCACGAGCCCGGGCATGGTGCTGACAAACCTAGAAACATAATCGGGGCGAACCGGGATTCGAACCCATAATCATAGGTTTCTGGCGTGCCCAAGGGACGCAACTCTACACAGCGAATTGCGGCGCCTTAGACGACTGGGCCACCCGTGCCAATCCCAATCTGGACCAGACAATCCTGTGAATGACATGAGCATCGATCCACGCAATTGGGATATGATGACATGCATCAAACCAAGTCGGCGAGCCTGACCATCCGATCCCGTTACGATGTCTGTATCTGTTTTCAATATGACTATGTCACTTTGTATAAAAAAGTAAATGTGTTTTGTCTATAAAAATAAATATAAAAAAGCATGCGATACCTAACAAACTATTTTATGGATATACTAGTATATCTTGAAATACATAACACTAAGTTAAAGAACATCCACTCTTGGAAGGCTGTTTATTGCTATACCAACCACCTATAACAGATTACCAATAGTCACTTGAAAAATGTTCTTTGACTTTAACTTCTTTTGAGTACTAGTATATCTACGGCGTTGTAAGGCTTTTGATATATCACTTTCCTTTTCTGATTGGAAAGATGAGAGAGTGAGGGTTGTTGTTGGTCGCATTCAGCAATATTCCTGCTTTTCTGATATGGTCCATGGCACCAATGGTTGGCACAAGTTATAGTTTAACAGGACAACCCCACTCATTGGTTGGCTCTTACCACAAGCATGGGATATATTCTGCCCAAGAATACTTATGGGGGTTAGAGTGAGTGAGTGAGTTGGGTTGGATTTAAAGCCTCTTTGGAAGGTATTTCACTAATGTTATGGGGGCGGTCGGGTAGCCTAGTGGTTAAAGCGTTCGCACGCCACGCCGAAGACCCGGGTCCGATTCCCGACATGGGTACAATGTGTGAAGCCCATTTCTGGTGTCCCCCGCCGTGATATTGCTGGAATATTGCTAAAAGCGGCGTAAAACCATACTCACTCACTCACTCACTTATGTTATGGCGTTCGTTGACATTTACCACTTTAGTGAGTCCCTCGAGCATAAGTATGGTGCTGACAAACCGAGAAACGTAATCAGAACGACATTTTGATTTGAAATTAAGATCATGTGTTTCTGACACGTCCAGGGGTCAAAAAAAATTTCGTCCTTCCTTAACTAATTTGTGTCGTATAAAATAAGCGGAGGTTATTTTTTTTTCCATGTCTTTAGTTGAAATATTGCTGAATATGGCGTGAAATAACCCTCATTCATCACTTATTTGACCTCGGGAAGATACTTTACTCAATCATTCATGTGTCACCTTCACTGGGTCACGTTACGGGAATACTTCGCGAACACCTGGGGTCATCACTCATCTTCAGTTATCCATTCATAGGATTTTCACAACTAATTTGCCTTTTACGCCCAAAGGAATCTGTTTCGGCAGATAATTTAGACCGATATACTCTTACACCGATTATACATTTTATATTTGATTAAAGGTCAGGAAGTATTTATTATTAAGCGGTGCTTAACTCTTTTCCAGGTGTATAGTTGGAATAATTATAACGAATTGCACCCCTTACTCAATGCCATCTTTGCACACTGGGCATTATCTCTCTCAATGCTTTTATTGTTTTTCTTCCAATTTGCGATATAATTTTTCACTAGACTAAAACATTTTTCTAAGATATGAGCGTTATTTTTGTTTGGTTATACAACTTACACATAGCATTACAAATGAAAGGCGATAAAGTCAGTAGGAATCCAATGATCGGATCAGTTCAAAGAGTACTCTGTGTCATGTTCATTCAAAATCCTGTCATATTTTTGGCGAAGTGTGGAGTGTAAATATAAATCCTCAACGCCAGAGGATATTCAGAGGTATCTGATGAAATAGTGTAAACGGCAAAATAGCAGTGAAAATTATAGGATGGATCACTGAAAATCAGTGATGCCAGCAGGTGTTCGCGAAAGGGTACGCATGTCCTGCCCTATCGGTAGCACCCTGTCACACACAATTTGCCTTAAAAATGTGTGTATGTTGCCTGACACCTCACAGCAGTGAGACGGTGATTGACCAAACATCCAGCCATACCTCAGCGCATTTACTTTGTTTTTTGGGGTTTTGGTTTGTTTTTTGTTTAACGCCGCACTCGGCCATATTCCAACTATATGACGGCGGTCTGTAAATAATTCAGTCTGGACCAGACATTTGAATGATTGACAACATGAGCATCGATCTACGCAAATGGGATCTGATGAGATGCATCAACCAAATCAGCGAGCCTGACCACCTGATCCCGTCAGTCGCCTCTTACGACAAGCATAGTCGCGTTTTACGCCAAGTATGGGTTGCTGAAGAATTATTCTACCCGGGATCTTCACGGGTCTAGCGCATTTACTGATTTGATTGAAACTAAAATTGAATGTGAATTTTGAATTACGCCTGTTTATGTACAAGAGCAGAGATTCTGCTGCTTATAAGTAAAGAAACAATGTTTAAGAAATATTTTCGTTGTACAACTCAGTGTGACCTGTTCTGATCCCGCAAGTACACCTTGGCATCCGGTTCCTCACCATGTCTATTCCTCAATCAGAGCTCTTTGCAGATCATGGACACATGGTGGCGTTCAAACACCTCCCATAAAATAGTTAATAGGGCTACAGGAGAGTAAGCACGCAAGCAAATCCATCCTGCGCATGCCTTGTTGCCGAATAAAGGAATTGGCAATGTCTACATGATGTGGACGAGCATGATCATCCTGAAAGATCGGGGCATATCTACAGCGAAGCATACACTTCATGAACAGTGCTACACAGCTGGGCCAATATCTCATCATCGTACTGTTGTGCGTTAAGATAACCAACATCAATGTATAGCTGTGCCCGTACAGTAGCGGTTTGCAGCCCAGACCATTATGGAACCACCAACACCAACAGCACCAGATCTATTTTGCACCACAGCATGTTTATAACGTTCTGTAAAGTGACGAATGGCATTGACGCCAAGGCTGATGAAGTCGGCACCATGCAAAAACGTGTACTTGTCACAGTGATGTTCCAGACGTTAACGTGGTCTGCTTGTTACAGTGTAGTTCCCGATATTAACATGATCTCCTTGTTACAGTGATGTCCCTGACGTTAACGTGGTCTGCTTATTACAGTGATGCCCCTGATATAAACATGGTCTGCTTATTACAGTGATGTCCCTGACATTAACGTGATCTCCTTGTTACAGTGATGTCCCTGACGTTAACGTAGTCTGCTTATTACAGTGATGTCCCTGACATTAACGTGGTCAGCTCGTTACAGTGTTGTTCCTGATATTAACGCTGTCTGCTTGTCACAGTGATGTCCCTGACGTTAACGTGGTCTGCTTGTTACAGTGTAGTTCCTGACAATAAGCGTTGTTCTTGTTAGTGTTCTTCCTGACGTTAATGATGCCTGCTTGACACAGTGATGTTTCTGACATTAACGTGTTCTTCTTGACATAGTGTTGTTCCTGACGTTAACGTGGTCTGCTTGTGACAGTGATGTCCTAACTGACAGTAATGTGGTCTTCTTCTTACAGTGTTTTTCCTGGTGATAACGATGTCTGCTCGTGACAGTGATACCCTTGACATTAACGTGGTCATCTTGTGACAGTGTTGTTCCTGACATTAACGTGGTCAGGTTGTTACAGTGTTGTTCCTGACATTAACGTGGTCAGCTTGTGACAGTGTTGTTCCTGACATTAACGTGGTCAGCTTGTGACAGTCTTGTTCCCGACATTAACGTGGTCAGCTTGTGACAGTGTTGTTCCGGACGTTAACGTGGTCAGCTTGTGACAGTGATACCCTTGACATTAACGTGGTCATCTTGTGACAGTCTTGTTCCTGACATTAACGTGGTCAGGTTGTTACAGTGTTGTTCCTGACATTAACGTGGTCAGGTTGTTACAGTGTTGTTCCTGACATTAACGTGGTCAGCTTGTGACAGTGTTGTTCCTGACATTAACGTGGTCAGCGAGTTACAGTGTTGTTCCTGACATTAACGTGGTCAGCTTGTGACAGTGTTGTTCCTGACATTAACGTGGTCAGCTTGTGACAGTCTTGTTCCTGACATTAACGTGGTCAGCTTGTGACAGTGTTGTTCCTGACATTAACATGGTCAGCGAGTTACAGTGTTGTTTCCGACATTAACGTGGTCAGCTTGTGACAGTGTTGTTCCTGACATTAACGTGGTCAGCTTGTGACAGTCTTGTTCCTGACATTAACGTGGTCAGGTTGTTACAGTGTTGTTCCTGACATTAACGTGGTCAGCTTGTGACAGTGTTGTTCCTGACATTAACGTGGTCAGCGAGTTACAGTGTTGTTCCTGACATTAACGTGGTCAGCTTGTTACAGTGTTGTTCCTGACATTAACGTGGTCAGCGTGTTACAGTGTTGTTCCTGACATTAACGTGGTCAGCTTGTGACAGTGTTGTTCCTGACATTAACTTGGTCAGCGAGTTACAGTGTTGTTCCTGACATTAACGTGGTCAGCGTGTTACAGTGTTGTTCCTGACATTAACGTGGTCAGCTTGTGACAGTATTGTTCCCGACATTAACGTGGTCAGCTTGTGACAGTGTTGTTCCTGACATTAACGTGGTCAGCTTGTGACAGTGTTGTTCCTGACATTAACGTGGTCAGCTTGTGACAGTGTTGTTCCTGACATTAACGTGGTCAGGTTGTTACAGTGTTGTTCCTGACATTAACGTGGTCAGCTTGTGACAGTCTTGTTCCTGACATTAACGTGGTCAGCGAGTTACAGTGTTGTTCCTGACATTAACGTGGTCAGCTTGTTACAGTGTTGTTCCTGACATTAACGTGGTCAGCGTGTTACAGTGTTGTTCCTGACATTAACATGGTCAGCTTGTGACAGTGTTGTTCCTGACATTAACGTGGTCAGCGAGTTACAGTGTTGTTCCTGACATTAACGTGGTCAGCGTGTTACAGTGTTGTTCCTGACATTAACGTGGTCAGCTTGTGACAGTCTTGTTCCTGACATTAACGTGGTCAGCTTGTGACAGTGTTGTTCCTGACGTTAACGTGGTCAGCTTGTGACAGTGTTGTTCCTGACATTAACGTGGTCAGCTTGTGACAGTCTTGTTCCTGACATTAACGTGGTCAGCTTGTGACAGTGTTGTTCCTGACGTTAACATGGTCAGCGTGTTACAGTGTTGTTCCTGACATTAACGTGGTCAGCTTGTGACAGTCTTGTTTCCGACATTAACGTGGTCAGCTTGTGACAGTCTTGTTTCCGACATTAACGTGGTCAGCTTGTAACAGTGTTGTTCCTGACGTTAACGTGGTCAGCTTGTGACAGTCTTGTTTCCGACATTAACGTGGTCAGCTTGTAACAGAGTTGTTCCTGACATTAACGTGGTCAGCTTGTGACAGTCTTGTTCATGACATTAACGTGGTCAGCTTGTGACAGTGTTGTTCCTGACATTAACATGGTCAGCTTGTGACAGTGTTGTTCCTGACATTAACGATGTCTGCTTGCCACAGTGTTCCTGACATTAACGATGTTTGCTCATGACAGTGATGCCCTTGACATTAATGTGGTCAGCGTGTTACAGTGTTGTTCCTGACATTAATGTGGTATGCTTGTTACAGTGTTGTTCCTGATGTTAACATGGTCTGCTTGTCACAGTGTTCCTAACGTTAACGATGTCTGCTTGTCACAGTGTTCCTGACTTTAAGTGTTATGCTTGTTACAGTGTTGTTCCTGACTTTAACGCTGTCTGCTTGTTCCAGTGTTGTTCCCGACATAAATGCTGTCTGCTTGTTCCAGTGTTGTTCCTGACATTAATGCTGTCTGCTTGTTCCAGTTTTGTTCCTGACAATGACATGGTCTGCTTGTTGTTAGAAGGTTTCTGTCAGTCATGTTGTTACTTGTGTACCAATTATTTTCCACGCTGCTGTGAAGATTTATGAACGTAAGGAATACAGCTATAAAACTTTGTATTAAATACAAAACAGTTTATTCAACAAAAATAATTTGTACAACCTCTGATAATCACTCACAACTCTCTCACTCATCAACTCTACCACACCAATGAACTTGACAGCACACGTACCATGCTGGCGGTGTCAACACATACTATACCAGCACGTGGCTGTAGAATGTAGAACTATAATTTGCCCCTTACACTGACTGAAGTATCATCTAAAGTTGCAGGACATAAAGATTTGAAACGAGAATAATCAGTCAGGATTGTCTCCAGAAACAGATTCATTTAAGATTTTGTTTAAAATTAAACATTTTTCACCATCATGTTTAAATTACACACTAACCTTTGCAATGACAAAAAGGCAGACATAAACAATTTCATATTGTCATCAAGAAATAAGAAAACAAATTTTGGCATAAGATACTTCAAGATGACAAATGTATAAATGGATCATTCGTAGCCTCCTGTAATGAAGTCATCAGCCAAACCTCCCCCCACTCCCCCAGCTATGTTCAAACCCCCAACACCACCAGTTGACACACCCATATTACAGCTAGTCATGCCTTGAGCACAAACATCAACAGCTTTGTGTTTCTTCTACATTATATTTATCACAATTTCTATTTACATACTGAAACAGATCAAATAAATATAACTGTGATTTGCTAACAAAAAGTACAAGAATAGCAGACCTTTGAGTTATGCTTCTGGCCATATTATGTGAAAGAGCTGGATTTGTTATTTCCAAACTCAGCCTCCCTGAACAACTGTCACTCAAACCCTCAAAGATTTCTAGCAAATACTTTCTTTCATCCAACATTATAATAGCTGCCATCTCATCATCTCCTAGTCTTTGTTAACAAGCAGTAACACAAATAACCACATGTAATGTTTTAAAATTCTTTCATAAAGCAGGAAACACTGCTCTAACAGTAAAGACCATACCTATCTGATTCTTGTCTTACAGACTTCATCTTTGACAATATGACCCAAAAAACAATGGTTTCATTCAAATATTGCAAACTTAACAGTAGATTCATTTGTGAATTGAAAAACGTAGTTGCCTTGTCTATCTATTTAAATTCAATTCAAAGATATAAAACACATACTTAAATGTCAAAATATGTGTCAAATATGATGAAATACCTTACCAAAATGGCCTGAATTTCGATTAGTACATCACATCTGAAAACTAAGGACAAACATATTGCTCCAGGTTGTGTTGGCCAACAAACAACAGCAAAACAAACTGAATAAAATCCTCAACTAAATGATCAGTTAGATACAAAATATATTCAACAAGAATGAACCAAATAATTGATGTACAAATTAAATGATCTGATTTGTAATGAACACAGTAAATCAAGTATTCAATTCAATATTGTGCCTTTTCAGTTGTCAGTTAGCAATGTGATGCCCTATATACACTTGTGAGGTTTTGTAGTATTTTAAATAGTAATGATGAGATGACTATATACAACCACATGCACATTTTGTGTAAATCAACAATTCATATTTCATTTTTTATCCTTAGCTGTTCAAATCATGTTTCTAAAGACTTTGACCTTAGAATCATATACACTGGCTACTACAGTAAAACAGCTATTAAGTATCATCATGTCTGAGGACTGCGAGAGTCTCGTGCACAACCAAATTGTTTGAATATACGGAAGCCTCGTTTCACACAGTGTGTGAAACTATTATGCAAAGGTAAAGACACAGAGTCACAACATCCACTCATGAACATGATAACTTGATACTGTGACATGGAGAAGCACAAAAATGCTCATGTTATTCACAGTAAATGCTGCCTTTAAAACAAAGAATGTTGAAACAGGCTTCAAGTAATCTGATGGTCAGCTGTAGCTCAAAACGGTTGGTTTGTTGTTTTACATCGCACACGGCAATATTCCAGCTATATGGCGGCAGTCTGTAAATAATCGAGTCTAGACCAGACAATCCAGTGACTGATATCATGAGCATCAATCCACGCAATTGGGATCGATGACATGCTTCAACCAAGTCAGCGAGCCTGACCACCCGATCCCATTAGTCACCTCTTACAACAAGCATAGTCGCCTTTTACAGCAAGCTCAAAATTAACTGTATATCATCTGATATCAACAAAATGTATGCCAAGATAACCTCTGTTCATAAGCCCATAATTCAATGATTTTCTTGTATGAATAATTTTTGTTAATTTCCTTGTTTGTGCTCAGTCTCTTTAATGCTCTCTCCCCATAGTCAATTTGGAAGGGAAGAAGATAAGTTAAGAATCTACACAATTTGGACAATTTGGACAATTTGGACAGACAGACCAATTTTATTTCTTGGTAGCCATTGATCAATATTCAAAGGCATGAACACCTCAAGTAACATGTGACCAAAATATATCATGTGTAACAGAATTTCCAATTTGTACACGACTCCCGTTACTGTTTGTTTGTAAACACCTTGCCTATGGACTTGTAGGTAGAAAACCTGCAATGTTAAAAATATCATGATAATGTAAGCCCAGCTTTAGTTTTAATTAGAGCTAGAAACAAGCGGTCACCTTAACAGATTGTCAATAACAAAGACACAAAAATGATTATTAGTACTGGGGGTAAGAATTGACTTTAATACAGCATGGCAAAAGACAAAGAAGAATTCTGTCAAACTAGACAAATAATTTTGAAAATTGTCCATTTGTTGTTAAGCTTGATATTATACTTTTTGCCCTTCAAATAGAAGTCATAGAAACTGTTTCACTTGTAAGATTGGTTCATAAGGAGCATACATTTGAATCAGACATGATTTCTTTTATTACCTTTGCATCATTTAGGGCATGATTGTCTATAAGACATGAACAAACTGGTCTGGTCCTATTATACTACTCAAAAGAAGTCAAAGAACACCCAATCCTTTCATATTACTACATGTATAGTTAATCTGTCATGCCATGTAATGTCAGGCAGATTAACTAAAAACAATAGAAATGATCATGTTTTCTCAAACTTCTTTGGACAAGTATACATAAAAGTACAAATGAAAAGTATCCTCAGAAAATAACCATGAAATGTGCAAAAAACAACAGTGTTGTCTTGTAAAATATATTTGTTCAAAGGCATTAAAATATGGCACTGAAAACTGATGTGTCATGTGATGTGTCATGTGACATAAATCCTACAACATGAACAGACAACATAATATATTGCATTGATAATATCACAGTTATTGTAACAATCAAACTTGTGTGACACACATGGTAAAGCTCTCTACACAAACATATTACAACACCTTTATACTGCATTGTTATTCAATCTACAGTCTTGTTGCTTTCTTACAAACATAAACCCACAAGGTCTTTATGCGTTCTTTATTATGTATTATTATGCTAGATCTACAACTAACATATAACTTTCACATATTTTCTTTTGTAAAGCAACCATTGAGCACACAAACATATTCCATAAGAACAACTGAGATATCCACTGAGAGTATGAATGAAAGATATCCTGTAGTTCTAGGTCATGCACTGATTACTATCACCCATATGTCATTATCACCAGATAGTACTGTGTAAAAACATGGGACTTATATAGTCTCTAAAACTAAGTGCCTGTGGCAGGCATCTTTCTTTTAAGAATTCTACCAATTTGGAAATTTTGTAAAGTTCATATCCTCAGCAAAACAAAGAAAAGCAAAAAAGTAGCAAAATCATAAATATCTGACAAAGTGTTGCCGACATCCACACCAAATTAATACCAATTTATACCAGTTCAAGGGGTCATTTTGATGGACCTGCATCGTTGGCCAATTTGGCATCTTGACCAGTGAGAAAATTAGAAACAAACACCTAAACCTCCATCTGATGCATTGTCTGTGCAACCATCTGGACCTCTAAGGATACCTCTGTTGCATTATCTGTGCAACCATCTGGACCTCTAAGGATGCCTCCGTTGCATTGTCTGTGCAGCCATCTGGACCTCTAAGGATACGTCTGTTGCATTGTCTGTGCAACCATCTTGATGTCTAAGTATGCCTCTGTTGCAATGTCTGTGCAATCATCTGGACCTCCATGGATGCCTCTGTTGCTGCAGTCAGTGTAGGTGTAGTCTAAACCGTCTCAATGTTTCATGGTTGCCATTGATCAGGGACACAGTGTTGACTGTGTTGACCTTAATGAAAGATAGTTCTCTTCTGCAACATTGGCAACAAGTGGGAGACCCACAATATTCTCTCAATGTCATTTCCATTTTATACAATTATGCCACTGATATTTACAAACACTATTACTTCCTTACTGTACTACAGTCTCGGTAGTGCCCTAAGACACCAACTATAAACTTGTTTTAACAATATTTCCATTGGACTTCGCAGTTCCGTTGGCAACACTGTCAGGAACTCTAATCACTGTGTTAATTTCAGTGCCATTTGGCTGAGCAGTGAGAGTTGTTCGGCTGGTTGATGATATGGCTGACACAGACGTGTTGTCATTCAATCCTACTTCTTCAATATTTCCAGGAGGTTTTTTATACATCACAAGAGCAAGAAAGAAGAATAGAGATGACATTGCTTTCAGGGACAACCCAAGTGCCAGAAGATAGTAACTCATTTTTCTGTTGTCATAGAAAAAACAAGCACCATCACCATCACATTTCTTCTGCCACAGGAGACAGGTCAAGTCAATCATCTTCCCAAACAGGATTGGTCCTGGGATGGAACCTGTGTTCAAACAGAGCAATGAGTTGAATTGTCATACAGCAATGTGTTGAATTGTTTTGTCATACAGCAAGAGAGTGAATTGTTTTGTCATACAGCAAGAGAGTGAATTGTTTTGTCATACAGCAAGTGAGTTGAATTGTTTTGTCGTACAGCGAGTGAGTTGAATTGTTTTGTCATACAGCAAGAGAGTGAATTGTTTTGTCATACAGCAAGAGAGTGAATTGTTTTGTCATACAGCAAGAGAGTGAATTGTTTTGTCATACAGCAAGTGAATTGAATTGTTTTGTCATACAGCGAGTGAGTTGAATTGTTTTGTCATACAGCAAGAGAGTTGAATTGTTTTGTCATACAGCAAGAGAGTTGAATTGTTTTGTCATACAGCAAGAGAGTGAATTGTTTTGTCATACAGCAAGTGAGTTGAATTGTTTTGTCATACAGCAAGTGAGTTGAATTGTTTTGTCATACAGCAAGAGAGTTGAATTGTTTTGTCATACAGCAAGAGAGTGAATTGTTTTGTCATACAGCAAGAGAGTTAATTGTTTTGTCATACAGCAAGTGATTTGAATTGTTTTGTCATACAGCGAGTGAGTTGAATTGTTTTGTCATACAGCAAGAGAGTTGAATTGTTTTGTCATACAGCAAGAGAGTTGAATTGTTTTGTCATACAGCAAGAGAGTGAATTGTTTTGTCATACAGCGAGTGAGTTGAATTGTACTCTGTGATAATGGACTTTCGACTGTGAAAAGCTTTTTCTCATCAAATGACAAATAGAAATAAACTTCTTGATGATATATACTAGTACATTTTTTTTTACCATTCATTTCTAATAATTGTCATCTATGCTTCTACTATGTTGCTATGTTTCATTACATTACAGGCAGTGTAGGCCTCCCTTCTGGTCAAACTCATGTTGACAAAAGTACAAAACGAATCCCGGATGGGCCTCAATCCCAAAAAGTACAAGAATCTGTACTTTACTAAGAAAGTGTTATCCCAAATATAACATCTGTTAGGCTAAAAAAAATAATAATCTTGGTTCTCAGGCACCGCCTGCATCATCATAGAGTTTGCTATATGGTCCTTTTTTTAGTTCCACATAAATTTTTGTTTAGAAAATTCTAATACTTAAAAACAATGCGATCCAATATAGCACACAGTTACTTCCCTTTACATACGCATTGCTTTACCGTGCATCTCATTTTATTGTCATGGCGGCAATAGGAGTTTGTATGCTTGTTAATGTAGGGATGCCCTTTCCAAGGTTGATGGTACACAAATGTTTATTTGGTTACATACTAGTTTGAACAAGCGGAAAAAAAACAGCCCACCTGCACTATATTTTCAAAAATCATTGCCAGAGAACCAATTCTTTATTTTTTAAGGCTTAGATATTAACATGGCATGCATCCTTCTTAAATCAGAAAAGATATTCCTCTACATTACCTAGACAACGAGCTATAATCCACTGTATTCCAAGACCAAATGACCGCTGTTTTTCTGGTACACATCTAAACAAAATGAAGAGAAAGATTATGGATTGGCAAAATCAAAGAAGGGAATTTGCCCAAGGAGTTTAACTTAAGTATACTTATGATCTGATTGCGTTCAATAATGGTCAAATAACCAATTTCCCTTCGACTGATTCACCCACCTGAACTAGAAATAAAGGAGACCAGTGAAGCAACCTCACCTGATCCATATTTACATCTATGCATTAAGATTCACAATGACAAAAACTATCAACAAGACTATATGACAAGAGGTATGACTTCAACTTTCCAATAGTCAACTTTCCCTTCATGCCGTGACATCTTCCATCAGCTCCAGCCTTTGGTGTCTACATTTCACAACTTTTGATGCATAATCTGTCATGCTCTTTCTATGAAGATTTCAAAGAGCATCTTATGATTCTTGCTCAAAATATGTTTGATCAGGGTAATAACATTCAAGACCTCATTACAGCTGTATAACTGTTGTATGGTAGACATGTGGTGGACATTTCCCAATTTGATACATCTTTGACAAAAATGATGTCTGATGCAATTCCCTATTTGGACTTGTATCTTGTGTTCACATGTTTTTCAGGCCACAATTGACTTGCCTTTGTGCCACCAGTGGGGAAGGATATGCTCACCTTTTCACAAATGCCTCTGTCCTAACTATTTGACAATGATTCATAAACACATGCTCATGATACAGTTTGAATCATACAATTGACTCTCTCTTGGGCAGAGATTCTCGTGGCTATGGAAACCATAACTACCAAGAAGTCTCTGAAAACCATGACTACCAAGAAATCACTGAAAACCATGACTACCAAGAAGTCACTGAAAACCATGACTACCAAGAAATCACTGAAAACCATGACTACCAAGAAGTCACTGAAAACCATGACTACCAAGAAGTCACTGAAAACCATGACTACCAAGAAGTCACTGAAAACCATGACTACCAAGAAGTCACTGAAAACCATGACTTCCAAGACATCTCTGAGAATCATGACTACCAAGACATCTCTGAGAACCATGACTACCAAGAAGTCTCTGACAATCATGACTACCAAGATGTCTTCAAGAAGCATGACTACCAAGACATCTCTGGGAACTATGACTACCAAGGAGTCTCTGAAAACCATGACTACCAAGAAGTCTCTGAGAACCATGACTACCAAGATGTTTCTGAGAACCATGACTACCAAGACGTCTCTGAGAACCATGACTACCTGAAGTCTCTAAAAAATTGACTACCAAGAAGTCTCTGAAAACATGTCTTCAAGAAGCATGACTATCAAGAAGTCTCTGAAAACAATGATTACCAAGATGTCTTCAAGAACCATGACTATCAAGAAGTCTCTGAGAACCATGACTATCAAGAAGTCTCTGAGAACCATGACTACCTGAAGTCTCTAAAAAATTGACTACCAAGAAGTCTCTGAGAACCATGAATACCAAGAAGTCTCTGAAACCATGACCACCACTAAGTCTCTGAGAACCATGACCACCAATAAGTCTCTGAAACCATGACCACAAATAAGTCTCTGAAACCATGACCACAAATAAGTCTCTGAGAACCATGACCACCAATAAGTCTCTGAAAACCATGACCACCAATAAGTCTCTGAAACCATGACCACCACTAAGCCTCTGAAAACCATGACCACCAATAAGTCTCTGAAAACCATGACCACCAATAAGTCTCTGAAACCATGACCACCAATAAGTCTCTGAAACCATGACCACCACTAAGTCTCTGAAACCATGACCACCAATAAGTCTCTGAAACCATGACCACCAATAAGTCTCTGAAAACCATGACTACCAATAAGTCTCTCAAAACCATGACCACCAAGGATCCTCTGAACCATGACCACCAATAAGTCTCTGAAAACCATGACTACCAGGAAGTCTCTCAGAACCATGACCACCAAGGATCCTCCGAACCATGACCACCAAGAAGCCTTTTAACCATGACTACCAAGAATTCTCTGAACCATGACTACCAAGAAGCCTTTTAACCATGACTACCAAGAATTCTCTGAACCATGACCACCAAGAAGCCTTTTAACCATGACTACCAAGAATTCTCTGAACCATGACCACCAAGAATTCTCTGAACCATGACTACCAAAACACCTCTGAACCATGACTACCAAGAAGTCTTTAAGAATCCTGATAACCAGGATGTCTCTGAAAACCATGACTACAAGAATGTCTCTGAAAACCGTGACGACCCAATAAGTCTCTGAACCATGACTACCAAGAAGTCATGACCTATGCTATAAACCACTGACCTGAGTGTTGCTGACAGTGCAGGCATGCTGGTGATGAAGGTGAGTAGCATCATCAAACCAAAGAACGGCATGAAGAGAGGTAGCCAGATGCAAGATGTCTCACACTTGCCAAACTCTGCCATGTAGTCTGAGGTGTTACTGTTTATACAGGAGCAGTTGGAGTAGCGCTGAAACAAAGCAACACAGTCTTACACTTGCTCATGGCTGCTGTACAATAAGAGCTATTGAGTGTTTGCCAGAAAAACACTAAAAAGGTATTTACCAATGCAGCTACTGCAGAAAGCCTTATTCTATCACCATTAAGTTAAGATTACTGGTCATACCAGCCATCATTCAATGGGTGCATTCTGGGTATACATGTAATATAGGATAACATACAGATTCTCATGTTAGTGTGCAAATGTTTCAGCATTTATTATTGTCACAAAAAATGGTTTCAGAAAATATCCTATTATCCCAACTATATATCACTTTAGTTGTTGATACATACTTGTCAACTTGTAGTGGAAAAGATTATTTGTTTCTGTTATTGAATAATATATTTGAGTTAGCTATGAGAATATATCTTCATATGCATCAAACTTGAACAGGGCGACTAATCCTGGCATTATCAACACAGAAGGCAGGATATGAACATACTTTCGTACTGTTACACTGTGAAACATTATGTCACAATGAATCAAATTATATTGTGCAAGATGGACATGGATATACTTAGTAAAAAGGAACTATCATTGAAATTGTATTTTGAAATAGATATAATCAGTTTTACTATCACATTTTCAGGATGTCTGCTGGTAGCTGTCATAATGATATATTTTTAAGAGAGTGAAAAGTCAACATAGCAACTATGCAGATTAATCACAAATGCTTGACCAAAATTATATTTAAAAAATAAAAACAGACGATAGAAAACGATAGAGGACATTGTTGTCCAAACGAAAAATTCCTCCAGTAATAGGAATCTCTTATTTTGTAATACATTATGCTGTTCATCCATTTGATTACCATGTCCACAACTAATGTCAGCTAAGTAACAACACTGAAGATGCCTTCAGTTTATTGAGGGGACTAATCCGTGACAGGCATTTATTGTGTGGAATTGCTGAGGGCAGCTGGTGTTTTATTACCCGAACAGGACGTTATAGTAATGAAAAGCTAGTTACCAATTGTTAAATTAATCACAGTGTCAAAATCAAACCCCATTTCACAGATTCAACAATGTATGCAATGTTGTTATTTTTTAAGAATTAGCACAGAAAGCAGAAACAGTATATGTTAACGGCTAAGAATCACAACATAGGTAAACGAAGCGAACATATCAGCCAATGAAAACAGTTGTTAGCGCTGCGTCGGTAGCTTTAGGCCATGCCCCCAAATAGGTTTGTTTTGGAAGCCGAGCATGAGGTTTCAGCACTTTCCCTTGGACATTTAAATACTCTCTGTGAATATTATGAAATTGCCCAAATGTATCTAGGAAAATCGCACTTTATTGGCCCTTTAAGTTAATCTATCACCAGCATGAACTGGCTTCGCTGTGCATCATGGACCAAACGTAAGATCTTAAAAAACATTGTGTTACATATCATACACACAGTGAATAATTCCCATTATACAACAGGTTGCATATTATTTATGACAAAAGTGAGTAGAAAAGAATGATGTCACAGCACTGGAAATTCCTTGTATGATGTCACGGAGGGAAGTATGGGATTGATCACAATTTTATTCATTTGCTCAAAATTAGCAAAAAAATCACTTAGATCTTTATAAACATTAACCTTTTATCCAAATGTAGTTAAAATATCTTAAATGTTGAACATGATTATACCCTTATTGGAAACTGATACCACAGTGACAGATTTCCCAAAATCCGTATACAGTAAACTACGTTTATAACGAACACGCTTATAACAAATTTATGTTTTGGTTCTGACCGTATGCTGCATATATGCTGTATATATGCTGTATATATGCTGTATATATGCTGCATATATGCTTATAACGAACTACGGTTGTTACGAACTAAATTAGTGGTCCCTTAGAGTTTGTTTTAACCGTAGTTTACTGTATGCCCCTCAATTCTGAACTTGGCGCTGTGGTTAATAAGTGCACCAGGCACAATAGAGCACAACATTACATTTTTCATTTGGACATTAAGATCATATCATGTCGATTTGAAAAATACCTATCTAAAAAAACCTAGCAGCAAGCAAGCAAACATCCCTAAGAAACTACATTGATAATATATAAAAGACACTAGTGAAATGGCTATATTGATCGGGGCTACCTGTCACCAGGGTGACTGTAGAAGACAAATGTCAACATACAAGTGACATTGGTTAATATTTCACACTTATACAAAGGTGCAGTGCAGAAGCAGAGAAAAAAGTGTCAACTGTAGGTTATTCTATTAGAACCAGTGCTGAAATTCTTGTGCACAAAAACTGTGAAATATGTGTTGGGTGGCCACAACGAACCAGTCTATTAAGGCACTGGTCATTGTCATCAGCTAAGAAAAAAGCTGTCAAAATGAAACTTACCTGATTTACTCAACTAATCACCATTCTACATAGAGATGACTTAAACTATTATCACCATGCAATTATGATAATGTGGATTGTGTTAGTATTTAACCAGCTAAAAAAATAGGTATTTAGTGATGATGTGACTGGTGGAAATTGGAACAAATTTCTAATTTGATTTGACAAAAGTTGCAGTGAACATTTGTCATTCTACAAATGACAAAGTCAGTTCAACAAAGGGAGACAACCTGGCTGCCGAGATGATATGGGTGATAATTACCTCTTCTATTCCACTCTGTTTGGGGAGAAATTTCAGAATGTGAAAACAACTAACTACATAATAGAGAATCAGATTGCAAATGAACCGGAACAAAATTCTAGGAAGCCTTTGGATAAATCAGGATGAATTCATGCCCAAAACAGCTCATGCAAACGAACAGAATTCAACAGAACATTTCCAAAGAGAATAATAATTTCTTCTGGAGGTTCACCAAAAGTTCCAAAACAGATCACATATATATTACTGCCTTACATTAGTCACAAACTGCAGAAACATAGGCATAGCATATGCTTAAGTTTTGTTCCTAATCAAACAAATTAGTATTTTTTTCCAAGGTGTTTCATTTTTTACTGAAAAGAAATTGCTGGTATAATTTCATCCTCATAAAAGCCCTGTATCACGTGTTTGATAATGTTTATTTTTTCTTGAAAGAGGTATAATCACCTGTATTCATAAGAAACAAGTTAAAAAATGGCAGTTTGAAGTGAAAATACATTTTAAAAATTTTTTCTATAAAATTTTCATGAAACATTTAATAAAAAATACCCCCAAAAAGGAAATCAACAATCAGTGGTAAAGAAGCGGATATAAACACATGCCAACAGGCAAATGGTAACATAAATAATAACAGTGAACACAAATGAGACTACCATGCTGACATTGACATAACTTGGTCTATATATGGTGCTGACCTTGACATCGCCAGTCTCAGACACCTGGCATCCAGCATAGCAGGGGGAGAAGTACATGAGGCCGTCGCGCCCACACACCGGGTGATAGTCATCTTCTGTACACGCACAGTTACTGTTGCACGTGTTGTCCAGCCTCTTGCCCAGGAATCCTATTGCCCTGTTAGTGAAAGAGTCAGCGAGTGAGTTTTTATGTTGCTTTGGACAAAATTTCAGCTATATCGTGAGGTGAGGTGCAATGGGGTTTAACATCGCGTCCAAGATTATTGCACTTATATAGCAACGTGCATGCATGTATGTGTGTGGCTGCTTGTACAAGTCCGCACTGATGCCGATTTATAGTGCTAGCTCACTGAGATACCATGCCGCAGTTTAACATGAATACCCCACTCAGACACAGTATACTGACTCCGAGCCGACCAGTCCTTGTTTTAGCCCTTTAATGCCGAGCGCCAGACAGGGTAACAACAAGCACCATTTTTTAACGTCATTTGGTATGACGCGGCCGGGGATCAAACCCTGACCTTCAGCTCTCCGGGCGGACGCTCTGTAAATAATCAAATCTGGACAAGACAATCCAGTGATTGACATCATGTGTATCGATCCACACATTTGGATCGATGACATGCATCAACCAAGTCAGCGAGCCTGACCACCCGATCCCTTTAGTCGCCCTTTACGACAAGCATAGTCGCCTGTTATGGCAAGCATGGGTTGCTGGAGACCTACGATGTATGTACTCACATGTTATTGGCACTGGCATTGTACTCTACATTGACACCAGCGAAGGGGACGTTTTCACAGTTGATCAAGAAGACTAAGGCAACAAATAGGACGATTAATGTAGCGCCGAGACAGAATCTGATGATCCCGGACACCTTCATATTGAAGCGTTTGACAATGTAACCTCCAAGAAATGTACCGCCTCCACCGGCTGGGATGGCTGCATAACCTGCAGAGATAGGACATAGGTCTTGACACATACATTCACAAGATTTGTAGGAGCAAGAATAGGCATCGCTGCTGATGACATCAACCATCATCATCACATCTGATGATACAAAATTGTGATGCTGTGATGATACAAAATTGTGATGCTGTGACTTATCAGTACACCAGTTCATCATCAGCAAACTTTGCATGATACGATACCCGATACACTTAATCTGATTCACATTTAACCTCATATCAATTTTTCTTGTTGATCTGTTTATTTGTTGTTTTGAAAAAACAGACTGAACAGATTATTGAAACAAAAAGAAAAATTTGTTTGTTTCTTATTATTTTCTCATACAGAATACAGCGATCACTGTACTTGACTTGACTCAGTGTCCAGTTGTCCTTCCTTAGCTTTATGAGTGAGTCGATGGACTCAATTCTCAGTCTAATGACTGGGCTTTCCACAAAAAATGTTGCATATGCCATATCGAGATACTTATCGTATCATTGCTTCTGTATTAAGATATGTATCGTATCACACCTGGATCGTGACATCCCTTAAACCGACAATAGCCATCACATCTGATGATACCAACATCAGGCATCACATCTGATGAAACCAAACATTAGGCATCACATCTGATGATACCAACATTAGGCATCACATCTGATGACATCAACCAACATTAGGCATCACATCTGATGATACCAACATTAGGCATCACATCTGATGACATCAACCAACATTAGGCATCACATCTGATCATACCAACATTAGGCATCACATCTGATCATACCAACATTAGGCATCACATCTGATCATACCAACATTAGGCATCACATCTGATGATACCAACATCAGGCACATCACATCTGATGATACCAACATCAGGCATCACATCCGATGATACCAACAATAGCCATGACATCTGATGATACCAACATTAGGCATCACATCTGATGACATCAACCAACATTAGGCATCACATCTGATGATACCAACATCAGGCACATCACATCTGATGATACCAACATCAGGCATCACATCTGATGATACCAACATTAGGCATCACATCTGATGATACCAACATCAGGCACATCACATCTGATGATACCAACATCAGGCATCACATCTGATGATACCAACATTAGGCATCACATCTGATGATACCAACATAAGGCATCACATCTGATGATACCAACAATAGGCATCATAGCGGTTGGCACTAACAACAGAGGCATCAAATCTGATGGCAGTTAAACTGGCATTACATTTATACCATTTAATTATGTGTTCGTGTGCCAGAATAAGGGGTAAGTGGGTTGTTTGATGCCTGTCAGCAAAATTCTAGCAATCTCCAAACAATATCCAGTGATATTAGAACAGTTCTAACAGTGTTATAAGGACGACCCTCACAGCGGTATAAGGACAACCCTCACAGTGTTATTAGGACGACCCTCACAGCGGTATAAGGACAACCCTCAAAGTTGTATAAGGACGACCCTCACAGTGGTATAAGGACAATCCTCACAGTGATATAAGGACAACCCTCAAATTGGTATAAGACGACCCTCACAGTGGTATAAGGATGATCCTCTAAGTGGTGTAAGGACAACCCTCACAGTGTTATAAGGACAACCCTAACAGTGGTATAAGGACGACCTTCACAGTGGTATAAGGACGACCCTCACAGTGGTATAAGGACAATCCTCACAGTGATATAAGAACAACCCTCAAATTGGTATAAGGACAACCCTCACAGTGGTATAAGGATGATCCTCTAAGTGGTGTAAGGACAACCCTCACAGTGTTATAAGGACAACCCTAACAGTGGTATAAGGACGACCTTCACAGTGGTATAAGGACGACCCTCACAGTGGTATAAGGACAACCCTCACAGTGTTATAAGGACAACCCTCACATTGGTATAAGGACGACCCTCATAGTGGTATAAGGACGACCCTCATAGTGGTATAAGGACAACCCTGATAGTGTTATAAGGACAACCCTCACAGTGTTATAAGGACGACCCTCACAGTGTTATAAGGACAACCCTCACAGTGGTATAAGGATTACCCTCACAGTGGTACAAGGATGACCCTCACAGTGGTACAAGGACGACCCTCACAGTGTTATAAGGACGACCCTCACAGTGGTACAAGGACGACCCTCACAGTGGTACAAGGTCGACCCTCACAGTGGTACAAGGACAATCCTCACAGTGGTACAAGGATGACCCTCACAGTGGTACAAGGACGACCCTCACAGTGTTATAAGGACGACCCTCACAGTGGTACAAGGACGACCCTCACAGTGGTACAAGGTCAACCCTCACAGTGGTACAAGGACGAACCCCACAGTGGTACAAGGACGACCCCCACAGTGGTACAAGGACGACCCCCACAGTGGTACAAGGACGACCCTCAGTGGTACAAGGACGACCCTCACAGTGGTACAAGGACGACCCTCACAGTGGTACAAGGACGACCCTCACAGTGGTACAAGGACGACCCTCACAGTGGTACAAGGAGGAACCTCACAGTGGTACAAGGACGACCCTCACAGTGGTACAAGGATGACCCTCACATGAACGAGACTTACCGACAAACTGGGCTGCACTTGCTGCTGGCAAACTGAACTGAGACTCGATGAACTTGGGAGCAAACGTGGAGAAGCCACTGAGGAGGATACCTGCAACAGGGAGAACACACAGTAAGAAAGTGAGGATGGTCTTATGCCCCTTTAGCAATATTTCAGCAATATTCCAGCAAATGTCACAGAGGGACACCAGAAATGGGCTCCACACATTGTGCCCATGTGGGGAAACGAACCCAGGCCTTCGGCATGATGATCAACACTGTAACCACTAGGCCACACCATCGCTCTCAACAGTGAGGATAGCGTGGCTGTTACATTTGTTCTAAATACTTTTAATAGTTTTTGACTGTATAATATGTATTTTTCATATTATCTAAGTGGTGTGTTTGATGTGGCAGGCATCAGGGCATCAATGTTACACTCAAATCAGGTAAAAACAATTTTCACTAGTCGGCCAAATATGATCTCCACAAGGATATGTCAAAAGACTTGTAATGTTAACATAGAACCTTCCAAATGAAGTTTGTAGATACGTTAATATGGTGAGAAGTTTCACTGGTGATTAGCTACAGCAGTTTCTGAGAAGTAACAAATATTATTATCTTCTACAAATGGTCAAAGATGCGAAAATGATGATGCCTCCTAGAAACTTGAAACATCCACTTGTCATTCCTCAGTGTGTTGTCAGCAATATTCCAGATCTGGATCAGACAATCCAGTGATTGATGTCATGAGCATCGATCCACGCAATTAGGATACAATGACACGCATCAACTAAGTCAGCGAGCTTGACCACCCGATCCCATTAGTCACCTCTTAAAACAAGCATAGTAATTTTAACCTCATAGTTGCTGAAGACTTATTCTAACCCAGATCTTTACAGGGTGTTGGCTGACATCAACAATCTTCAGCTATGACATTGTTTCTAGTGGGACATTATTCTGACCTTACATCACAAAAAGATTCAAATGACGCTAACAATACGGACGACGTAAACAATTACACAGGTGTGTCAGAAGCGATATTTGCACTAGTGCACATACAATTTTTATGGACACTGTAATTTCTAACCCTAAGGGAAATAAATAATTTTATTTCCGGGACTATATGACAGTCTGTGATCATGGTTGTGGAGTATCAGTATAACATGCCACATAGAGTGTTGAGGATATGACAATGTAGAGGAGATACAAACGGATGTACCTTCACTGGCTGCTGCAAAGTTGAGGAACATGAATGTCGGGTTGGTGACAAGTAGTTTGATGGAGAGTAGTATGTCTTTGATCCCTCTCTTATTGCCGATCTTGTTGGCTTCATCTTCACTGCTGCCCTTGTTGTGCACCTCCTTGCCCCGCTCGGCCATATACTTGCTGGAGCCTGCACACAACAATTAATTAATGCTACGTCCACTTGGGATGGGTATTGGAGGTTTAAAGTGTATCACAATATTTTGCAAAGCACAAGGCTGTAATGCGATACGCATCACGATATATTGTATAATTCTATATTTTTAATTCAGAAGCAATCTGATACATGGAGGTATGAACTGAAGTTCATCAAATGAAGAATATATACGCAGCCATCTTGGAGACCCAGATGCTCGCTTCTGGGCAGCGAAGGCATTTGTCAAGTATTTAACGTTAAACACACGATAAAAATCGAAATCTGAAATCACCCGATATATCGTGCATGAAAAATTATATTGAGATACATATCGTGGAAAGAATGAGCCTCAATTTACCGATATACCGATAATGTCCCCACTCTAGTGGTCTGCATACAACACACTAATGTGAGCTCATGGTGCTATGTTGGGAAATGGTCAGTGTGCACTCAATTTGTACACAGAAGAGAAAGAGGAATCAAATCAATGTTATTTTCACATCAGAGGCGGATTCATAATTTGTGTGTGTGTGTCTGTGTTCATATTCATGGGAGGGGACTTTACAACTTTAGATGGGTGGGTAGTGATCTTGTTAATACAGTAGGGATTTAACATCTTAAATTTGAACATCAGTGGGGTCTTTGATCCGACCATTTTAGATAAAAAAACACAGAAAACTGGTGACTACATCTACTTCATGCCAATGGCATCCACAACTGATTTAGGTCTCCCGGATCCACCATTCCACCAATGATTTACATTTTTTACAAAACTCTTGCCTCATGACCCAAGCATGGTTCAATGCACATTCTGGACTAGGGGAGACACTGTACTCTGGTTTGGGTGTGCTGTTTCTGAGGGCAATTCTGATTGAGATCCTAGCTAGGTGTTAAACCAGATATTGATGTATGTGTTTACCTGGCAATGCTCGCGGGAATCCAAACAGGGGGACGGAGACAAAGAAAGCGAGGGCGCCACTGAACAGGAAGCCAATCCACCATGCCCCAACCCAGCGTGGGTTGTCCGGTGTAATGGAGATACTGAAACACATGGCATGACTTTATAAACCTCCATCATCAACCAAAGTGATGACTACACCACGGATTCTACGTATGTGTGTGCTTGTATCAATAGCACCAGTGTCTATGAACACCTGCATTACCTGGATGTATCAATAGCACCAGTGTCTGTGAACACCTGCATTACCTGGATGTATTAATAGCACCAGTGTCTGTGAACACCTGCATTACCTGGATGTATCAATAGCACCAGTGTCTGTGAACACCTGCATTACCTGGATGTATCAATAGCACCAGTGTCTGTGAACACCTGCATTACCTGGATGTATTAATAGCACCGGTGTCTTTGAACACCTGCATTACCTGGATGTATCAATAGCACCAGTGTCTGTGAACACCTGCATTACCTGGATGTATTAATAGCACTGATGTCTGTGAACACCTGCATTACCTGGATGTATCAATAGCACCGGTGTCTGTGAAGATCTTAAGAAACTCGCCACCTGCCATATATCCAATTGCTGGACCAATGATAGCAAAGGAGTAGAAGATTCCTGAAAGTCAAAGACATACACAGAATTAACACAGGCCAAAAAGTGAGATGGTAACTGTATTTGATGAATGCAGGATCTCTATGACCTATATATGATAAAAAAACTAAAACAGGAAACCAACAGGACATGTATCGGACTTCAGAGAACATCAATGATATTCTTTAACCACGTCTTATATAATTTTAAAGAATATCCTTGATGTTATTTAGAAGAAACCGTGTGAAGATCCATGTTAGGGATCAAACATTTGATATTCTGGGGTGGAGATTAGATATTTTTTAAGGAACAGCTACAGATTTGAATTTTATTTTTAACAAAACCACCTTGCAACAATGTAATTTTGTAGCAGGCAATTTATTTTAACACTGTGAAGCATATTTTTTTCTTTCAAGAAATTTTGGGGACATTTAATCTTTTTCAATAAAATCCTAGCACCCCAACCCCAGAATATAAAATGGTCGGTATTTCAGAATTGATCACCCTGTGAAGAACCGGGTTAGAACAGATGTCTGATCTATATCTACCACGTGTCTCACAGATATCTGATCTATATCTACCAGGTGTCTGACAGATGTCTGATCTATATATACCAGGTGTCTGATCTATATCTACCATGTTTCTGACAGATGTCTGATCTATATCTACCAGGTGTCTCACAGTTGTCTGATCTATATCTACCATGTTTCTGACAGATTTCGATCTATATCTACCATGTTTCTGACAGATGTCTGATCTATATCTACCAGGTTTCTGACAGATGTCTGATCTATATCTACCTAGTGTCTAACGGATGTCTAAGAAAAGAAGAATTTTGTGTGACTAGTGTTGTAGTGGCATCTGGTATTGTGGTGTCATCCAACTTCCAGTAGCCACAACTCACCCACATAGAATGACGATGACCGCAGAGGCAGGTTTTCATCCAGGTACGTGACTCCGAGTGTGTAGAGGGGCGACGCCCCAGCACCATGGAGCAGTTGGCCCAGGAAGAACACATACTTGTAGTCGGAAAAAGACTCTGCTGAAACTGTGTCACAAGTCCCTGTAGTGTTGCCACCGATTCGACAAATGTTCTCCTGACTGCTCTGAACGGTGTACAGGGGTGTTGTGAAATGTGGCAAAGAGAACACAAAGGAACCAACTCCAAGAATGAATATTCCAATGCCGAGATATCTGGGCTTGATCCCGAGACCTCCGAAGTAGCTGATCGGTATAAGACAGAGAACTGATGCAATGTCATAGCAGCTGGCTATTGTGCCTGACTGGGTACTGCTGATCTCAAACCGTCTCTCAATGTTGGATATCACCACGTTCACGAAGCCATTGACCACCATGCCCTGCAACAAGAGGTAGATCACATTAGTTCACGAAGCCATTGACCACCATGCCCTGCAACAAGAGGTAGATCACATTAGTTCATGAAGCCATTGACCACCATGCCCTGCAACAAGAGGTAGATCACGTTAGTTCACGAAGCCATTGACCACCATGCCCTGCAACAAGAGGTAGATCACGTTAGTTCACGAAGCCATTGACCACCATGCCCTGCAACAAGAGGTAGATCACGTTAGTTCACGAAGCCATTGACCACCATGCCCTGCAACAAGAGGTAGATCACCTTAGTTCACGAAGCCATTGACCACCATGCCCTGCAACAAGAGGTAGATCACCTTAGTTCACGAAGCCATTGACCACCATGCCCTGCAACAAGAGGTAGATCACATTTGTTCACGAAGCCATTGACCACCATGCCCTGCAACAAGAGGTAGATCACATTAGTTCACGAAGCCATTGACCACCATGCCCTGCAACAAGAGGTAGATCACATTAGTTCACGAAGCCATTGACCACCATGCCCTGCAACAAGAGGTAGATCACATTAGTTCACGAAGCCATTGACCACCATGCCCTGCAACAAGAGGTAGATCACATTAGTTCACGAAGCCATTGACCACCATGCCCTGCAACAAGAGGTAGATCACATTAGTTCACAAAGCCATTGACCACCATGCCCTGCAACAAGAGGTAGATCACATTAGTTCACGAAGCCATTGACCACCATGCCCTGCAACAAGAGGTAGATCACATTAGTTCACGAAGCCATTGACCACCATGCCCTACAACAAGAGGTAGATCACATTAGTTTCTTTTTGTGTTTTGTGTTTGACCACCATGCCCTGCAACAAGAGGTAGATCACATTAGTTCACGAAGCCATTGACCACCATGCCCTGCAACAAGAGGTAGATCACATTAGTTCACGAAGCCATTGACCACCATGCCCTACAACAAGAGGTAGATCACATTAGTTTCTTTTTGTGTTTTGTGTTTGATGTTTAACCCCGCACTCGGCAATATTCAAGCTATATGACAGAGGTCTGTAAATAATCGAGTCTGGACAAGACTATCCAGTGATTGACATCATGAACATCGATCCACGCAATTGGGATATGATGACATGCATCAACCAAGTCAGGGAGCCTGAACTCCCGATCCCATTAGTCGCCTCTTACAACAAGCATAGTCACACAAAACTAACACACCGTGACATAACTGACACATTGTTCAAACTGACATTAAACCCAACTCACTCACTCACTCACTCACTCAGTGTATCCATGTCCCTGCTGTTTATAACACAAACAATGATATATTAAGCACACTAATTTTGAAAGAAACACAATTTTGTTCTCGGAAACAAATATTTGCTATGAGCCTCATTGCTGCTGTTAAGGTTGGATCATCAAGGGAGATAACTCATGTAGCTCTAAAACTCAACCAGCATTTGAAGTGCAGTAAAATATCCTTCCAGTTTCTGGTTGTGTTGTTTTTTCTCTGAAATCAACTCTGAATAAGTGCATCCCTTTCCACACAGTAACTTTAGCCTGCCAACATCTGTAACAATACATCAGCTACACCACTGTCATCCTGTCTGCCTGCTTCTATGAAATACCTGCTGAAGGTCTTACAGTGTACAAAAACACTTCACACACTGCCAAGCTATTTTTTTTTCAAAGATCTTGAGATTTTCAGAATTCTAAATAGGCTCCTAAGTGAGGAAAAGACTTTCACATTAGCACATTTTTTCAACCTGATTGCTTATACAACAGGTATAAGTTATTGCCAATGTCTCTGATTTGACAAGGAGTCATTTACACAATTATCCAAAATAGTTTTTGTCATTCTTTCAGACAGATGCTGTTATTTAACATACCGGACGAAATACAGAAAAAACTATGCTGAAAGGGCATTCACACCTCTTCCCTAAGAAGCAATACAAATACTATTTTCTAATTACATACATGTGGTTAAAATATTTTGAAACCTGGATAACAAAAACAGGATGATTGGGTGTACCTTCTCCACTGTGCACCGCCAGCCACACAGTACATACAATGATGCTAACTAGTATTGCCCTCAGAATATACTGTTATACGGAAAACTGCACTGGGCCATGATGATACGATACAGTGAATGACTGCCTCTGTGGTCTTGTGGGTCTGCCCAGGGAGGGGAAGGTTCGGGGTTCGATCCCCGGACACGTCACACCAAAAGACGTCAAAGGACGATACTTGATCTTACTCTGCCTGGTGCTAGTGGAACGCTTGGTTTTTTTTTGGTTTTGGTTTGTTGTTTAATGCCGCACTCAGCAATATTCCAGCTATATGACGGCGGTCTGTAAATAATCGAGTCTGAACCAGACAATCCAGTGATTGACAACATGAGCATCGATCCACGCAGTTGGGACCGATGACATGCATCAACCAAGTCACTGAGCCTGACCACACGATCCCGTTAGTCGCCTTTTACGGCAAACTCGGGTGACTCAGGTGACCCAATCTTAAAATAATCAAATGCACGTACAGGGAAATGATCGTAAACATAATTCAGTCATGTAAAACTATTACAGGAACGGATAACTCAAGTACCTGGGTTGGGTTGGTACTGAGTAGGACCCGGGTACCCACAGGACTACTGGACCCATGGTTAGTCATGTGATATATTGTTTCATGACAAAAATTATCTAGAACGCTATGGTTACACTACAAGTCACTAATGTTCACATTTCTTTCTGACTATGCACCCATTCCTTCTGATGTTTCATATGGTTGAATAAGGATAATACTTCAGTCAACTTCAGTGTATGAATGACAAGATTGTTTAATACTTGTATCTAAATACGTTTTGCCAGGGCTATGCTAAAAATGTTCCCAATCTGACATTTTGAGACATCTCCTGAGACCTACAGTGGGTACCCAGGTAGGGTCGGGTAATAGGGGGATGGGTACCCAGGTAGGGTCGGGTAATAGGGGGATGGGTACCCGGGTAGGGTCGGGGGTAATAGGGGGATGGGTACCCGGGTAGTAAAATTTGGACTCGTCCCAGCCCTAAACACCATGGTATACCAAAAAACAACACATGATTGAGGTTTGTTTGTTTGCTTGTTGTTTAACGCCGCACTCAGCAATACACCAGCAAAATGACGGTGGTCTGTAAATAATTGAGTCTGGACCAGACAATCCAGTCATTGATGTCATGAGCATCGATCTACGCAATTGGGATACGATGACATGCATAAACCAAGTCACGAGTCTGACCACCCGATCCCGTTAGTCGCCTCTTACGACAAGCACAGTCGCCTTTTACGGCAAGCACGGGTTGCTGAAGACTTATCCTACCCCAGATCTTCACATGATTGAGCTATACTCATACAAGTTAAAATGTAATAGAATAGAATAAGATATCTGAAAAAGCTGTGCCATGTATCCATTTACATAAAATCTGGAATGAATCTGTGTCAGTGTTGAACAAAATCGGGTGACACAGCATGATTCAAAGCCATGACCCTATATGTTTATTTTGACTTAAAGGCCTACTGTTGACACATCATGTTCCACACAGTGGAAATACCAGCTGACCCCAGGCTACCAACTGTCTATGCCATGTACATATAATCCTTATCATTTTGCCTTGTGTAAATAATATTATAATCACAGAAATATATTGTACTCTGCTCCATAGAACCCTACTAAAATGTCTTCAGTATTAACAGTAAAGTCTCTATGTTTAGTGGTCTCCAGGACAGTCTATCATTGACATTACACTAAATGGTTTAACAGACTTGTCACAACCAAATTAACTAAGTCTAGTCTGAAATAAAATGAGCATAAATGAGCCTATCTGCATATGAGTGAGTGAGTGAGTTGGGCTTAACGCCGCTTTTAACAGTATTCCAGTTATATCACGGCGTGTCAGCTTAATGTGGGAGGAAAGCCCAAAGTGATGCAGGTCTCAGACGTTTACCACTTCGGTGAAACCCACGAGCATGGGTATGGTGCTGACAAACCTAGAAACATAATCGGGGCGAACCGAGATTCGAACCCACAATCATAGGTTTCTGGTGTGTCCAAGGGACGCAACTCTGCACAGCGAATCGCGGCGCCTTAGACGACTGGGTCACCCGTGCCCCCCTATCTGCATATGAGGGCAATGGGGTCGCTCAGTGGTTGAAGCAATTGATCCGTCATGCCGAAGGCCAGGGTTCTATTCTCCACAAAAGTTAACGTGTGAAGCCCATTTCTGGTGATATTGGTTGAATATTGCTTAAAGCAGCATAAAATCCAACTCACTCACTCACTCACAAGTCTCCTTGTCCTTGGTATGGGTCAGGCATACCAGAAAAAACCCTAAATGCAAATACTGATTCATAAATTGATATACAATATTATAACCTAAAGCTGTTTTAAGCAGTTTTATAGTTGTTTTATTTTTTTCTTATTAATCAGGATCAGAACTAAACAAACTTCTCCTTGTTTCATAAATATATACTGAACAAAAAAAAGTTAGGGATCATAAATATTTTCTGATATTTTTATGAAATTGTGTGCTCAGTCTTCACTACAACAACAAAAATCCCCAAATATATTCATGATCCCCAACCTTTCTAGCTCAGTATATTTTGATGGTAGCTTTTAGCTCCTATCTATCAATTTATAAGCCAAGAACACGTGTCTCCCTTCCCTCAAATAACATATATCTAGCCTATAGCAAGGAGGAAACGGCAAGTATAAAAACTTCACCTCCCAGAATCTCCTGAGTGAGCCAGAACGTATTGCTAACTGTGTTGCAGCTGTCCATTGCTGCTTTGTTGAGTTTAGAGCCACATGACAAAGTACACCCTTGTTTCATTCTAACGTCCCAGTTTCACTGGATAATCTATTTCACCACGATTTAACAAAATGTTTCCAAAATGTCACAAGAGGTAAGACAATATATGAAATGGCAAGCTCTATGATCAGCGTCAGACAGACAAACACACCACTTCCCCTTCTTCCACTT